GCTTGATGGTTTCGTTTGGTAATCTGCGAATTTCATTACATAAAACTCTTTGTTGTTGTTTGTTTCTTTCGGAGTCAAACATTTTTGAAAATTCCTGTGTAAACCTTTTCCAGTTTGATTTTATTTCTAGAGGTAGTACTGAAAACCATTTTTGGGCTGCGCCATCTAAGGTTGTTTGTATTAACGCTGTGCGTCGATGTATCCAGTTTTGATGTAGTGGCGTATTAATTGGTTCAGGTCCAATATTTAAAATCAGGTTTGCTGTTACTGCATTTAAATAATCTTCTACAGAATATTCAGGGTCTGTTCCTGTGAAAACCATTAAAGGTTTGTTTGATGTTATTGATGATCCACCCATAAGGTATGGATTCATTGTCATTTGTAATGATTCTGCTGCATTTGGCATTTGAGAAAAATTTGAAAGTTGGTTTCTTGTTATTTCATGTTGTTGGAGATAATATGGGAGTGGTATTTCATTTTGCATTTGTGATGGTTGATACGAGTGTGTAGTCATTGGATTTTGTTGTTGAATTGGTTGAAAAGATTGTGTATTAATTAAATTTTGTTGTTGAATTGGTTGTTGATGTTGTGCATCTATTGGTTGTGGAGAAAAATTTCTATGATTTGTACGTGTTTTCTGTATTTCTTGTCTACGATATTCTTGAGTATTTGGTGCAAATATATCTGGTTGTAAGAAATCATCATCTGAGGATAAATAATCCATTTGATAAGATGTTTGTTTTTTATTTTTATTTTGCTGAAAAAATGGGTAATTTTCACTGTGATCCTGTGGAGGATTTGTTTGGAAATTTATTGAATTAGGTTGGGTCATTGGGTTATCCCAATTTCGAGATCTTGTATATTGGTTAAAATTTCTTTGTGGTTGGTTATATGTTTTTGATGGATGTGTATAATTATAATTATGGTCTGCAAAGTTGTTTCTAGTGAATGTTTTGCGTGTTTTTGATGGTATTGTCATGGGTCTGTATGTTTGGTAATCCATATGTGAATATTTAGGGGCAACCGAAGGTTTAACGGTTGATTGTAAGGTTACCTGTGTTTGTGAAGGATTTGTATTTCTTGGTGTTGTTAAATTTGGGCGTATTGGTGAAATACTTTGTTGTGTAGTTGTTGTGTGTACAATTTCTTCATTTATGAAGTGTGATGGTGTCTGGATATCTTGTTGAGTAAGATTCCTAGTTCCATTGAGGTTTTCATTGTGTATGACTGTAGAGTTTAAACTATTATTTTGTGTATCGGGCAAAAATGTATTATAGTTTAATGGTGTTGCATCAATGGTGAATGGTATTATTTTTACATAATCTCTTATGTAAGATATCGTACTTATTGCTTGACTTGAGATTGATTGTGGGAAGCTTATAAATGCGGGATGAGACCATTCGGGGTCCCAAACATAATCTGATTGTTCTGTGATAGCGGTATCATCGTTCGAGTTTTGGGGTCTAAAATTTTTTCTTGCTTGTGCAATTAAATCAATATTGTGAGTGAAATAATCTATTATGAACCATGCCAAAATTTTTTGTAGATCGTGTTTTGTATGTTGTGAAACGTCGTCTTTCGTGAAATTTTCTTTAATGATGTTTAAATAACTAGAGAGTAGTGTGATTTCATGTCGTACTCTTAAATGTTTAGATGTTTCTGTCGGTGAGACATTTGTTATTGGGATTTCGTTTTCTAATATCGAAATATAACTATATATTATTGCGAAAACTTCATTGGTGAATATGGAGTTTGCTCTTTGTGAGTTATGATATTGGATGCTTTTTATATATTCTGAAAAAACTTTTGAAAATTCTAAATCAAGATCGTCTGTTTGAATTGTATATTTTCTATTATTATGGTTTGGTGAGGTGAATTCTATGGAGTAGATTCCATACTGTTGCGTTATGTTGCATATATCTTTTAAGTAGTGATCTATGATTTGTCTTTTGATTTTTACATCTGGGAACTCTGTTTTACATGGACTAATTCCGGGTTCAAATAAATTTAATAGTAAATTTGTGCAAAATATATGCTGTCCTCTATCAGTGGTTGCATCTACTATAAAAGGAAAGATTTCATCATCATCTGGACTTTCTTCACCTGGGGTGTGCGTTGAGCTCATTTTTTCGTTCGATGACTGTTAATATGTAATTATTAATGTGTCGAATTGGTTGATTCCAATTGTATAAATGTACTGGTTTGTGTTTATACTGCTTTTTTATTCTTCTTTTTCCTCTTTTTGATGAATTCGAAGTTGTTTCTGAGTCAGAAAAATATAATTGATCGTGAAGTGGGCAATTTTTATCTATTGATTCTTTTAGTTTGTAAAGTTCGTCTAAACTGTTGGTTTCTGATTCTGAAAATGCGTTTCGATTTTTTGAAAATCTTTTTCGTGTTATTTGTCTTTGTTTCGTTATTATTTTTCTTTTTAGTGTTTGTCGTTTTGTTCGAATGTATCCAACTGTTTGTGTATGAGGTGTGATTACAAGGTCGTATTTTTTGTTATCTATTTCACAATTGTGTAAAACGATTGTTTGTTTATTTCCTAGGTTTTTAAATGACATAAGGTTTAGGATGACGGATGCAAAAGGTTGTTAAATGATTTCTATTTTCCTAAACTGTTAGTTCTTACGATTTTTTGGTTAGCTTAACCTGGGTCTATTTGTTCAGGGTTGGAGAGAAAAGTATATCGATTCCGAAGAATGATTTTTTACTTTCTCGTGGCTAGTATAAGTTAAGGTGTTAACTTACTTAATCTTACTTAGGGGTAGTGATTGTGTTCAAGGGTTGGAGAATAGTAAATCGATCCACAAGGTTCAGGTATAATTAGAACGCGAGTAGTTCGTTAGATACTATTTTAAACTTACTAAGTCTAAGATTTATCCTGGGTCTGGTAAGAGGGGGGGTCAAGTGAAGGATGAATAACCGAAGTTCTTCACTGTTTATCCTAATTTGAATGATTAGTTTTGTTTAAAAATTTCTATTAGTCTTAGGTCTTTAGAAAGGGTTGGGTAGTGAATCGACGTTTGAGGTCGTTAGACACTAATTAAGTGGGTGGGGGAGAACAAAGTTGTTCTGTTTGATCCAAGGATAAGCCTTGATGATCAAATTTGAAATTTAATTAAGTAGAAAATGATTTAAGATCCAAGGATAAGCCTTGATGATCTGGTTTTAAAATTAAGTGAATTTAAGTTTTAATAAAATTTTTAATGTGTGTAAAGGAAAGATTTAGTGTTTTGATGATATTAGTGGGTTTATGATTGCTGTTATGTTTTAGGTGATTGAGCTGGAACAACAGGATGATTTATGATTACTAACCATTTATTGTCATGCTACTAATTTTTATTTTTTATTTTTCAATAAATATTTTTCAAACATGTTTTGTATATTACTGCAGAGTTTTAGGAAAACGATCTTAGATCTTTTTATCAATCGTTATTGTATATTAATAATTTTGTTTAGCGCCTGTAATGATTTTGAAGATTAAATTCAAGGTTTTATGTTTGCAAATGAAAATCTAAATTCATTGCCAGTAGTATTCTAAATATAAAAGTTTGTTCTGGTTTTTGCCTAACTATCATATAGCTATATGGCAAGTTTCTACTTTGTCGTATGTCGTCTCTGGTTCGAGGTCTTCTTCCAATTCCGGGTAGTTCTGTTATGGTTCGGAATATTGGCTCTGATCTATTGAGTCGTAGAGACATTTCGATTAAATTATTGTCGTATAACATTTTGTAAATGTTTTTGTCTAATTTCTAATCTATTTTGGTTAATTCTAAGCTATTAAGGTCTTGTTCGAGACTTATGGTCGCACCAGATGAGTTAGGACCGAGTTGGTTAACTCATAGAGTAATTTCGGATAGGGTACACCGTCTGCTCGTCACGCTATCTTATTTTCGGCCGGATAGATTCGTGCAACTTCTTAGTCTAATACCGATCCTAATCTTACTCTTATACTATCTAGTCTCAGGTTGTTTAACTAGTCTCTGCTAGGCTCAATAGATCTAGGGTATACTGGTCTATTGCGGCTGTTGAAGTGCTCGGGAGAGTCCAACTAATTTCTAAGTTAAATTCAAATCTCTCTGGTGCTGAAATTACAAGTAACTTCAGCACTTACAAATAAGTGGGTTGTTAGTTAGATGGATCATGATTGGTTAATATTAAATACTTTACATTGGTAAAATATCTAAATTATCCAATCATAAAATGTATCAACATAGAGGGGACATGAAACTTAGCACCACTAGCGATACAAACACGTCAAACAAACTTTGATCAATCATTCCAAGTCTAATAACGCGTAATCTGGACCAAATCAAGCTCGCGCTTATTCAAACTGGAATAATTTTATGAGCGGATCAATTAAACAAATAAGTCTGATACATGTTACTCCTAAGCTGGCATAGATTTATGATTTGAATTGAAAAAAAAAAACAGAAACCGGGAACAGGATGCGGTTGAATACTACGAAACTAATTTGCAAAAAGTTTCGGGCGAGACTCGGATTATTCACACTTTTCTCTGGTAAATCAAGGATATTACGTCTGCGTCAACATGACAATACGCATAGGCCTAATCGGTTTTAATAAATGAAATAAGTTGTATATAAACAGACTTCGCTTTAATTTTTGAATAGAAATGCCTAGTTGCAGGTTCCACCACACCACCAGTATGATATTGCTCAAAAGGCAAACAAAACTTTAAATAACCAAAATGACTGAACTCAGAGAAGACCCATTTGAGTTGCCCTTGAAATTCATCAAAAACGATTCAGTCAGTTCCAAGAGAAAACTCAAATATGTTAGAGAAAACGACATCTTTTACGGCATCTTTTACTACTATTTAGCTTTTATGGTAAAAAATGAACTAGAGAACGACAATTTTTTTTTGGCGTATTTTAAATAATTTGATTCAAAGCTGACTGTAAATGGCAATTTTTAACCGGCCAATTAAAATATACTTAAGAACTGCTGTTGAAGACCTTAGTCTTATTTTACCTCTCGAATCGGCATCTTTGTTGTCCGATTTCGGCTCACTCTTTCTTTCTTTGCTGCTCCGCTCCTGAGCTTGCCTTGTATGCTGCTGCAGGGCATCAACTGATGCTCTCCCATGAGACGAAGCAGATATAATGTATTCAGAGAAGTCGCCAACGCCCATATGAACTCCCGCATTCAGGTCATCTGACGATTCTGATTGGTCCAAATTTCCACCACTCACGTCAGACTAAAGGAGGGACGCATCAAAATTCAAATCACAATAGTTTAGGCTTGTCACAAGATGATTTTGGGGACAATAACTCATTTTGAGAACTGACCTTGTAGGGTCAACGCAAAAAATTATAGAAACAAAGGAAGACTTTTGTAAATTAAAACGTTTGTTTTTGCGTTTTTTTTTTTAGTTTGATCAAGTCAATACATCAAAAATGACCTCGTGTAAACAAGTGGAAATAAGGATAGCGCAAAACTAACCATGATGTCGTGATTTTGAGGCAGTGAGAAGGCGCTGTTGAAATTGTCAATCTCGGACAGTATGCTCTCAGACGCAGCTGGCGTGTGGGACGCTTTGTAATTTGGAGCTGCAATGACCACATCACTATCAACTGTCAAATCCGCTTCATTCGAAATCACTGAACTCATTAGATGTTTTTCTATAACAATCAATGATGAGCATTATTATCAAAGTATTTTAAAACGTTTCAATGACTTCAGTCTGAGGACTCGATGCTTGATATCAATTTTCGTGTCTTTAAATGAGAAATTTCTAGATAAAGTGTAGAAAATAACCAAAATTTGCTGATGCCGGATCTCTAGTTGAGACAGTACAACACTGCCGAAGTACAACAGCGCCCAAAAATCAAACTTTGTTCAACAGCGCCAAAAATGGATGATTTTCGGCACTGCTGAACAGTTTTTCAGTTTCGGAACAATTGAACGCCACCCTATATTTAAATTAATTTCGTGAATAGAATGAATTTTCTAATTTACTTTAGATTGCTCATATCTACAAAGATAGCCGTTCGCTGTAGCATAGAATGTTCCGACTCAGGAGCGGATCTAGAATTTTCTCGAAGGGCGATTTTCAAAAAAAAACAGGCCGAAAAAAGGCCGGTCAGCCAAAATTGATAAGCAGCAAATGAAAAGACAAATCAAAAAAAAATCTCACAAATTTGTTTGTTTTGTCCAAAAAAATTATAAAAATTGCAAAAAAGGCCAAACAATTCCTGGAAAAAATCACCTGCTTCATTAGAAATTTTACAAAAAGCTTTCAAAAAGCTAAAAAAGAAACCGAACGTTTCAGCGGGACCTAATCCGACAAAAATTAGAAAGAAAGGTTCCGACCACAAAAAACAGGTTCCGACTGCAATCGAGCTTCTGGGATTTGTCGTCTCAAGCATGGGTATTACCACTGCACCAGATGCGCATAACACTCCTTGAATTTATAAAGAAAACTACATCAAAAATTTTTAATGAACAGCATGAAAAAATAGTAAAAAAAAAATAGGAACAACTTCTTGGAACTCAACTATTTGCCCGAAACTGGAATAAACTAAACTGTTTTTTAATTTGAGTAAAAATTGTCCAAATTTTAGGCAAATTTGGTGCTGCGGCAACTAAGCCGACAAAAAAAAGCAGACAAAGAGAAGTCCGACAAAAATTTTCTGAAGCGCGAACAAAAAAAACAGGTTCTGGCAATATTCGAACCATTGACTTTCGATTTTATATGCTGGTACGCATAGGCCATGACAATACGCATAGGCCTAATCGGTTTTAATAAATGAAATAAGTTGTATATAAACAGACTTCGCTTTAATTTTTGAATAGAAATGCCTAGTTGCAGGTTCCACCACACCACCAGTATGATATTGCTCAAAAGGCAAACAAAACTTTAAATAACCAAAATGACTGAACTCAGAGAAGACCCATTTGAGTTGCCCTTGAAATTCATCAAAAACGATTCAGTCAGTTCCAAGAGAAAACTCAAATATGTTAGAGAAAACGACATCTTTTACGGCATCTTTTACTACTATTTAGCTTTTATGGTAAAAAATGAACTAGAGAACGACAATTTTTTTTTGGCGTATTTTAAATAATTTGATTCAAAGCTGACTGTAAATGGCAATTTTTAACCGGCCAATTAAAATATACTTAAGAACTGCTGTTGAAGACCTTAGTCTTATTTTACCTCTCGAATCGGCATCTTTGTTGTCCGATTTCGGCTCACTCTTTCTTTCTTTGCTGCTCCGCTCCTGAGCTTGCCTTGTATGCTGCTGCAGGGCATCAACTGATGCTCTCCCATGAGACGAAGCAGATATAATGTATTCAGAGAAGTCGCCAACGCCCATATGAACTCCCGCATTCAGGTCATCTGACGATTCTGATTGGTCCAAATTTCCACCACTCACGTCAGACTAAAGGAGGGACGCATCAAAATTCAAATCACAATAGTTTAGGCTTGTCACAAGATGATTTTGGGGACAATAACTCATTTTGAGAACTGACCTTGTAGGGTCAACGCAAAAAATTATAGAAACAAAGGAAGACTTTTGTAAATTAAAACGTTTGTTTTTGCGTTTTTTTTTTTAGTTTGATCAAGTCAATACATCAAAAATGACCTCGTGTAAACAAGTGGAAATAAGGATAGCGCAAAACTAACCATGATGTCGTGATTTTGAGGCAGTGAGAAGGCGCTGTTGAAATTGTCAATCTCGGACAGTATGCTCTCAGACGCAGCTGGCGTGTGGGACGCTTTGTAATTTGGAGCTGCAATGACCACATCACTATCAACTGTCAAATCCGCTTCATTCGAAATCACTGAACTCATTAGATGTTTTTCTATAACAATCAATGATGAGCATTATTATCAAAGTATTTTAAAACGTTTCAATGACTTCAGTCTGAGGACTCGATGCTTGATATCAATTTTCGTGTCTTTAAATGAGAAATTTCTAGATAAAGTGTAGAAAATAACCAAAATTTGCTGATGCCGGATCTCTAGTTGAGACAGTACAACACTGCCGAAGTACAACAGCGCCCAAAAATCAAACTTTGTTCAACAGCGCCAAAAATGGATGATTTTCGGCACTGCTGAACAGTTTTTCAGTTTCGGAACAATTGAACGCCACCCTATATTTAAATTAATTTCGTGAATAGAATGAATTTTCTAATTTACTTTAGATTGCTCATATCTACAAAGATAGCCGTTCGCTGTAGCATAGAATGTTCCGACTCAGGAGCGGATCTAGAATTTTCTCGAAGGGCGATTTTCAAAAAAAAACAGGCCGAAAAAAGGCCGGTCAGCCAAAATTGATAAGCAGCAAATGAAAAGACAAATCAAAAAAAAATCTCACAAATTTGTTTGTTTTGTCCAAAAAAATTATAAAAATTGCAAAAAAGGCCAAACAATTCCTGGAAAAAATCACCTGCTTCATTAGAAATTTTACAAAAAGCTTTCAAAAAGCTAAAAAAGAAACCGAACGTTTCAGCGGGACCTAATCCGACAAAAATTAGAAAGAAAGGTTCCGACCACAAAAAACAGGTTCCGACTGCAATCGAGCTTCTGGGATTTGTCGTCTCAAGCATGGGTATTACCACTGCACCAGATGCGCATAACACTCCTTGAATTTATAAAGAAAACTACATCAAAAATTTTTAATGAACAGCATGAAAAAATAGTAAAAAAAAAATAGGAACAACTTCTTGGAACTCAACTATTTGCCCGAAACTGGAATAAACTAAACTGTTTTTTAATTTGAGTAAAAATTGTCCAAATTTTAGGCAAATTTGGTGCTGCGGCAACTAAGCCGACAAAAAAAAGCAGACAAAGAGAAGTCCGACAAAAATTTTCTGAAGCGCGAACAAAAAAAACAGGTTCTGGCAATATTCGAACCATTGACTTTCGATTTTATATGCAGGTGCGTTAGCTCTTCGCCATATGCGCAAAATAACTTCTGACTTTTGAATTCATATGAACCGAAGGTAAAATGAGTCAAGTGATTCTGTTAAATTAAATATTAACCCGAAAAAAGTCTATATGCCGGTTTGATGACGCTTGCTAATCGCAAGCGTTAAACTGATTCGGAATCCGATACCACACTTTTCTTCAATAAATTTTGGAAGAGGTACCTAAAATTTACCAAAAAACACTAGTTTTTTAAGTTCTCGAAATAAGGATTCACATTTTGAATGGCGTAAAATGATTTGATTGGTACAACAGGAATTTCAATTGAAAAATTCAATTTTAAATGCTAACCGCTGTTTCCAATTGCTAAGGTGGAAGAAGAGAAGGAAGGACGAGAACTCTGCTCGCACACGGGTCCAACACCACATAAGATTGATTGTTCATTTTCACTCACACTTGATGTCATGCTTATTTCACTAGAATATACCCTCTCGCAATTCATTTGGTCCCTAAATCCATTTGAATATTCCTCATTTTCAGGTACAATTATTTGTTGATTGGCTTCCTTAGAAGCCCACCCACGAGTATTGGTTTCGTCGAAAGTGTAACCTTCGCGGTCGAATCCTTCGCCATAAATAAGATCATGGGAACCTGGGAACGAGGTCGCAAACACGGCACTATCTAGATAAGCATTTTGGGCTGGCTCAAAATGATCAGTTTTCGCTGGACTACGAAACACTAAGTCGGAGTCTCGACTGTATCGAATGGCATGTTCGAGGTGTAAAGTGTCGCAGTGATTCAACTCTCGAGTTGAACCATTATGCACTGAAGGGAATGTTGCTTGAGAAGAACCGTTCGAAGTACAACGCCAATAGAGATGATGTATGGGCCTTTCTAGCATAAGTTAACAAAGTTTTGCTTTCTGATTGATGGCAAGAACCCATTATATTTTAGTTTAGAAAAAGATACGCTAAGTCAACGCCCATACATCACTGTGGCCCGCTCATTGTCATCAACTAATTCATAGCTCTTATGAACCTTCTGGGTGTCTTCTGAACGCCTATCTGAATCCAAAGAATATGACATACTACTGCTGCTATCGCCATCTGCGTTCGAATTCGAATTGCAGGACATCTTTCTCTTTCTCAGCTGATGTCTGAACACCATTGGGGATGAATGCACATGATAGAAAGCGGAGGCAGTGAAGTCCGCAAACTGAACCCGCCTCCCCTTCGTGATCTCATTGGACGCTGCTGCATTTCCGAATCCGCCGCCATCAGATGAAACTGAGAGTCGATTCACCAATGGAGAACTGAGAGGTGTAACGGCCCGTTTTGTGTCACTGGTGCGATGATGATGCACTGATTCGAGTTGATGATCTGCAGATCTTCCAAATGCGGTTTCCGAAGCCTTCAGATGGTACCAAAAATTGCAAGCATACCAGTAAATAACCAAAACATTTCCAAACTTTGAACGAAGAAAACTATTCAAACAATGCCAAAAAAAAACAGACTACATATGTAGAGGAGATCAAAGGAGCGGAAAAGGGAAAAGCCTACTGTTTGTGGTGTTTCGATATTATTTTTATTTTTATTTCAAGATATGTTAAAATGAGAGCTATACCGATTCGTGGCTTCTCCTTCGTTCGCCTAGTCGTATAGATTGCTCCATCTGGCTCTGTTCCCAGATTGCTCCACCTGGTGCTGGTCTATCGTCAGTTCTGGTTTCATTTTTGAGG